AAATTCTATGGCATCAGGATCGTCACCTCGACTTTCGTAGTACTCCCTCAAACGTGCTACCAACACCGTCTTGGGTCCCGTCGTGTCTAGCTCAAGTTCTTCTAGCTCTCTTCTGAGCTCTGCAACCAGCAACTGATTTAACTTCTTAGACATCTTCTTTCTTCAGGACCCCACACCTGACACCAATTGTAACACGAGTGTGGGTTGAAACTATTTATTTAATTAAAATACAAAAAAAATAACTATCCGAACGCGTAAACTATTTACAATTATTACTATATACAATTGAAACGTTGATCCGCCACGCGCTGACCGGCTTTCTATCTTCCACTCCAAATTGACAGTGTCCTATCATCAACAAACCATGGTAACCGCTTCCATGACCGTTCTCGATCATTCCTTACACTTTCTCCAAGTTTCTGTCAGCCTGCCCGATTGTAGGTTGGGTTTCCTGTCACCTTGACGGTTCGTTGTCTCATACTGTTGTGGCAAACCTTCGCACTGTCTCGTCCGTAGAGCCAAACCGTTACAATATCAAACGGTATTTAAAAAACACTTGTTCAAAATTTTGTATTTATATGCCTCTGGGTACTGCTGCTTCCTTGCGGATATTGTCGGTAACTTCACTCGGTACACTCGGAAGAAGGATACACCCACAGAACACTTACTCTTAGAACGGTATCTCCCATGTTAAAAAAGGATGATAGAGTTTTTAGCGGCACCTGGTGGACGTGGTTGATTTTTTTTCAATTAAGTCTTTGTCTGGTAAGAGGCCATATGAAAGAAGAGAAAATAATAAAAAGAAGAGAAGAAAAGCGCGGGGCTATTCAAATTTGACAGTAAAAATTATCCGCATTAAAAACTGTTAGCCAAATTAAGATTTGTTCACACAAATTGCATTTTTGCTTTATTATAGCGAATATCGCTATAATAAAGCAAAAATGCAGTTTGTGTGAACAAATCTTAATTTGGCTAACAGTTTTTAGATAAAAAAAAACAAGAATATTCAAAAAATAAATTTATTAAAGAATATATATAATACAAATCCAATATTTAAAAAATGTAATGTATATGAAAATTGTATTATGTATGAAGTAGCTGGATGGCTGCTACATATTCCAGGATACAACACTGTCCATCATTTTGTGAAGAACTTTAGCTGTGAAAAAAGAAAGACAGTATAAGTACAATCTCATTAAAATAAATGTATTAATAAAAAATTATAAGTCCGAGGAATACTTTATTTTTTAATAAGTCCAACATCTACGATACAGCTTTGCAACCCCAAAGGTCATGAAACACAAATTTCACAGTATATGCCGCGTTTAAGAATCCACATCGGATGCAACTGAGATGTAGTAAATCTTTGATCACGTGATTCAGTTTACGTAAATGTAATGGGACAGATGTGTCCGATTTAAAATAAACTATTTGAGGCGCTGTTCTCCACATCTCGGCAAATGGGCTAAAATAATAATTTATAATACTCTTAATATTACCTTATTTTAATTATTGTGCCACTATACTGTATTTGCTCAACCAGAATGAGTTGCAATGATTGCAAAAGTTGCAGAATAGAGGTCTGAGGATAATACTGAGCTGTTCGAGATTGGAACCAATCAATTCCATGTTGAATGTGCTTCAGTGGTTGCCTGTTAAAAAATATTTGCTATTCTATTCCCTGCTTTTTATATTTAAAATTAAATCAGGAATCTCCCGTGTATATTTACAAAATATTTTAAGTTATAATCAGGATGTTCATGAACCTAAACAGGTAATAAGAAAAATGTACACCAAATTCAGTGTTTTTTAAAGGTGTACAGGCTTTTAATAATTTGCCTGAGGATATTAAATGTTCTTCAAATGTGGCAATATTTAAAATAAAACTGGGTGAATACCTGTTCACCTATTGCCGTTTTTTTTCTTTCTTGTTCTTTTATTGTTTTGTATAGTTGACATGTAAGTGTACTGTATCTTATGTATTTTTTATTGCATTTTAAATGTATGTTGATTCTATATTTATGTATTTTTTATATTTTAAAGTGAAGATGTATTGACATGTAAAAAATAGTTTTTTTGACTAAATAAACGTTTTATATATAGGTATGTGGATAAAAAAACGCCCGAGATGTAAAAAATGCATCTGATGTGGATTCTCAAACACAGCAATAAGTATAAAATAAATAAGTAGAGTACTAACTTTCCTTCTCGAAAAGAAGTCCAACATATATTATTAGTCTGCTTCTTCTTCTTCTTCTAGGATACAGCTTTGCAACCCCAAATGTCATGAAACAGAAAATACACAGTATAAGTATAAAATAAATGAGTAGATTACTAACTTTCCTTCTCGAAAAGAAGTCCAACATATATTATTAGTCTGCTTCTTCTTTGAACCTTTACTTGAAGTAGAAGGTGTTTGATCAACATATTCAATTTCTACGTTATTTGAGGAAAGTCCATCCGCTACTCTTCCAGGAACTGCTGGTAGGGATAGCGTTGGAAATGCTTCAGGTGTTAGACCTCGACGAGAGCCAACTACTTTATACTTCTCTTCAAAATGTTTATGACATACTACAAAGGTGGAATAAATTTGTAGTCTTGTTTTATTATTAAATCTTGGACAACGAACAGCAAGTGCACAAATATCAAATAAATCGGGTGAATTCGTAGGGTGAGGCAGGCGATGCATCTTGTTGTCCACAACAAGGCAATTCGGTACACATTTTCTATAATTACGCATCTTTATGAAAAACCACAAAATAACAGCGGAAAAAGCACAAATTTATAATGGAAAAACAAGCTTATTAACAGTGGTCAACTAAATCAATTAAGCAAATTGGAAATGAAAACAACTGAATACAACAGTCACCAATATAAATAAAGTTCACGTTTGATTTAAGCCAAGACGCCATGACACCCCCACAAAAATCAATATTCACCTGTCATTTACACTCCCACCACCTACCCCACCACCCGACTGCAGCGCCACGCGGACGTGGTTGATTGATCCCAGGCCTGCGCATACCAGTTTCCCACCCCTGGATACACCCACAATATATCCCCTATAGTAATGTAACTGGGATTCAAGAAATGGCTTTGAGTTACGCTGCGGCCAGACACAGGTCTCATGGCGCTAGTATCGTTATTGATTTTTGACATCGGCACGTTCATTGGTTGACGACGAATTCAAAACAATCTGATCGGAGCGTTACTCACTCCCACTCCTTCTCTTTGTTTAGATACTTATAAAAGAGAGAGATACCAGTTAATTATTCCTATTTCGAATCATCTTTCATTCTTTAGCGTTGAGTTTTTATAAGTGAAGCGTGAAGTGTCAGTGTTGACAAGTGATAATTTTTTGATTTTTTCTTCTACGAAATTTAATATTAATTTTGTTTCAGCGATATTTATTGTGATTTGTGTTGTATTAAGTGCTTTCTTATTTAATATGGGAAACAAAACGTACGACAAACTCAGAAAAAGAGGAATCAAGGAGGGATTGCTATCTATGGCTGTCATCCAAGGGTCTGCGCCCCAGATAATACTTTTCCAGTGGGAAAAGCCTTTAAAATTCAAGTATAACAATTTTATGTTTCCGTTTTCCCTTCTTTTAATGTAGGTGCCAATTTTGAGGTAAGTTTGTAATAATTTTTCATATTTTTTCAGTTAATATCCTCTTAATATTATAATTTAACTATGATCTTATGCTTTCCTATGGACACGATTCAAGGAAGGAGTCCTATGGCTGTCATCCATGTTAAT